GCGGAGTGAGGGTTCTCCACCCCGCACAACATGATCTACTCGACCACCATTATGGTTTCACCGCCAAAAAAAAAAAACCGAGGTAAAAAAAAAACGGTAACCTTGTTGCCGAGTTCACGAAGTGAATTGGCTTGTTTTACAACGTCGTTGCCAAGCGACGAAAACCCAACTCCGATGGTAAATACCGGGGGGGGGGAGCAAGCGAAGGGGGGGGGGGCACACAAAAGCACATATGGGTTTCAGGCAGACACCAGGGCGCAATGCGCCGAAAGCAACGAGAGCAAACGAAAAGCCAGTTCCCTCTGCCGGTACAGCAGTAGTGACGAGAGCGACTAGATCATGAATAGACTATGACGAGCGCGAAAAAAGCCATGGCGTTCTGCGAAGATCGGTCGAAACACCGAAGCGAGCAGCAGATGACTACCCTATCCGCACCGCGTGCACTACCTCATCACCAGCGCCATAGCACTTGAAACGTAGCTTGGAAAATATCAAAACGATGGTCGACTACGCAGCAGCGACGACCAAGGAACAACGACAATACTTCTCACATGAGCAAAGACAAAGAGCAAATGAAGTCCGAGCAAAAACAAACGCTCGAAAATCGTAGATACTCGGCGGCAAAAGGGGCAGGGCACAATGTCGTCTTCAAGTACAAGCACAGCCGTTCTGAATCTTGGAAGCTGACGCCAAGGTGCTCAGTCTCCTCCGCGGCACCCCTCGCAGGGGGGCCTTGAAATCGAGAGCATCCTCCAAGTTGTTTTGTGGCCAAATCTGCCGCCCTCTCATCACTGGCCAGCCGGTGAGCGCGGTCGACGACAATCGAGCAAAGACGTGCACATGCCTGCCCGACTCACGTACTCCCGTGCCATTGGTGAAGCGCTAGACATATTCAGCCAAGCACACACTCGCGCGGACGCCGAACGCTTCAGCAACCACTTACAAAGTCCACCCCGATGGTAGAGATGTAGCTCTCCGTGTAGGTGTCGTCCGCGAACCGCAACAGCAGACACGACTTTCCCACGCCCGAGTCTCCGATCAACAGCAGCTTGAACAGGTAATCACTGGTGCGATTGGAGTGGACACGGGAGACAAGCACAGCGGAAGGGCGAACGAAAACGGGTCAGGGATGTTCTTGTACATACGAGGTGACCAAACAGTATCCGAGAGAGGACGGACAGACGGACGAACGGAAGACAACATTCATACATGCACGTTGAAGTGTGAGAGACGTGACCCGTTACTCCCTTTACACCAAGTGCACCAAGTGGCCTGGGTCATCAGGTTCATCCTGGTTGCTGATGAGGACAAAGCCGAGAGAGGGGGGAGACGTGTGCGATCATCAAAAGGTTGAAGGGTGCAACCCTGAGGGACAATGGCCGCTCGTGACGGACAGGACATTTGTGGCCCACCAAAAACAATTCGCTCGAGAAGGAGTGGGAGGGTGGAACCGCAGAATGGCAGAATTCCGCACAACGTGGGGCACGTCCCGTCCACGATGTGAATATTACTATTCCTCCTCTCCTCTCCTATTCCAGCAGGTCTGGGCGAGCACGTAGGTAGGTACGTTGCGTGTGGACGTGAACATGATCCAGAACACGCGACAGGCAGCTTTCGCAGCTCGAGACAGGTTAAAAATAGCTGCGTCGTCTGTGGATGTGCGGGAAACAGGCACAAAAAAAAAACGCGCTCAATACACTGTCTCATCTCTATCTGTCTGTCTCGTCTTCTCTGTGTTGCTAACCCTGCCCTCATGATGCTCTCATACAAAAGGTTCCTTCTCGGTGGACGTCGAGTAGTCTAAAGCCGAAAAAAAACTCACCCGCGGGTCCGATGCTCGGTAAGGATACGATGTTTGAAACAACATGACCGCATCAACGCAACAAAATCAAGTCGCGAGTTGCGCGGATGCGGTCATGTTGCTTCAAACATCTTGGGAGCAAGCGGGACGCATCCCTTCACATTCGCAAGGTGCGTACCCCTTTCCCGCTTTCTGTGTTGCGAAACGTGCGGAACAGCTGACCATTGGCGAAGACATCAGAATGCGGACGAGCGCTTCGCGTCTGCTGCTCCTGCTTGACGACAGCGTGCACACATGAGCATGCCCCTTACCATTGCATAGCCCTCTGTTCACCTTTCGCGGATGTTTCACTCTCTGCACGCTGTGCCAGCAACGGGAGGCAACGTGGACCTCAAACAGGGAGCAGGGCGACAATGGCCAACCAGGACCTGTGCGAAACTGTCGAATAATCGTCGTCACAAGAGTACTCGATACTCTAGTTACATCGGTTGTACTCTCCACTGTTTCCGGGCATGCATGCCCCCTTCTCCCCTGTCACGCTGTGAGTTTTCTCTCCGATACAATGCGTAGGTCATGACGTCGCCGACGGCTATCCGTAGAAGAAAGAGTCGACAAACGTGGCCAGAGAGGGAGAGGAATGCCTCAGAGAGGGAGAGTAATGCCTCAGAGAGGGAGAGTAATGACTCAGAGAGGGAGAGTAATGGCTCAGAGAGGGAGAGTAATGGCTCAGAGAGGGAGAGTGATGCCTTAGAGAGGGAGAGGAATGCCTCAGAGAGGGAGAGTAATGCCTCAGAGAGGGAGAGTAATGACTCAGAGAGGGAGAGTAATGGCTCAGAGAGGGAGAGTGATGCCTTAGAGAGGGAGAGGAATGCCTCAGAGAGGGAGAGTAATGCCTCAGAGAGGGAGAGTAATGCCTCAGAGAGGAAGAGGAATGCCTCAGAGAGGGAGAGGAATGCCTCAGAGAGGGAGAGTAATGCCCCAGAGAGGGAGAGGAATGCCTTCATGGGCGGCGTGGGGACAGGGTGAATTCGCCGGCTTCGAATAAAAAGACGGACCGTGTGCGACAAATGCTATTCATCAGCGGGGTTTGATCGTTCGTGCCCCAGCCCCTATAATCGAGGCTGATCGTGCCGTCAGCTCGAGACGAGGTGGTGTGCTCGATCAGGACTGCTGTATCGTTGCAGTCGTTTGCCATCTCATCCCTTGAAAGCCAGCAGTACAGAGTAGTATTGCACCAACAGCGGAGTGCGGCCAACCCTTCCCACAGTCAAGGTCAAGGTCGTCCTGCCACCCGTAAGCGAGCAGGGCCGTTGACCCCGCGACCATTCCGCCGCGTTATCTTTTCGCATGTACTGCTGTACCACTTCTTGCGCAAGCGAAGCGGGTCTTGGGATATCTTTTTCACGATGCGACAATACAAAATACAAGCAAAATACAAGCAGACAAGGGGCGCCATCGTTGTATGCAACCTAGCGTTTGCCGTGTTCCTCGTTGTTGGTGTGCTCGCCCTATAGATATAAGTACCCGATAATGCAAGCACCAACAGAATCTTCGGGATTTTTTTTTAGTACGTCAAAAACGTTACGCACTACTGTCGCTTGTGGGTTGCTACAGTATTGTTGCGATCATTGTACGCATGTAGTCTCCACCACAACTATTTACAAAGCCTTACGGGCTGCTGCATCCAGCGTACACCCCACTCTTCAAAAGCGAGACCAATGAATTTCCGTGTGCACAGCAGTACATTAGCCTAACACAAACGAGGTACCTTACAGCCTGGTACATGTTGTTTTTGTCTTCACATTGAAAAACCGTTCCGGTCTCCGCTCAGTACCTTCGAATGTCCGGTCCAACTGACGCGGGCGCCTTCCGTGGCCACAAGCCAACTATAGTACCCTACCAAAAATCGGATGCAGCTGTGTGAAGGTATCATCGAACGCGACTCTCGTGAAGCGGTACAGCTATCCAAGAATACTTTTATATCCGGGCTTCTCCGCCGCGTACAACCGACACCGGTCCCGGCACACTCGGTGCAACACACTCTCTCTGATTGCATACTTTTGAACACAATCTACAACAGCAGTGTAACTCATATTTCGTCTTTTGTTTCTTGGGTGTGTTGTGTGCTCCCCGCTGTGGATATTTAGCGTGTGATCACGGAAGGCGTCCGCCCTCGTCAGCTGGACCTGTACGGGAATTAGAGGGTACTGAGGAGACTATCGCGTGGACGAATGCTTGAGTGCTAAGCAACACTTAAAAGAACAGGCAAGTGTTTTGGTCAATTCCAACAGCGATCCAAATCAGTTCTTGGCGGCAAAGCTGCGCGACCAACAGAAAAAATCTTCGAAGCGGAGGAATGTACATACACCTCTGATGCGAGCAGGGGGTTGCTGTTCGCTGATTACGTGGGAGGTTTTAAGACTTTTCACCCTCGCCGGTCTAATGTTCTCTCGTGATGGTGGTTGTCGAGATTAAGGTTATCTCCGCTTAACAGCTGTGCCACGACACAGGCGGGGCTTGTCGGCTGTACCGTAGAGGCGGAGTAAACACAGCGCCTTTCTGCCTGCAATGTCTCCCTCCCTCAGAACACAGTCGCAGCAGCAGCGACCGACGAAAACAACAGCAGTGGCGCTGCTCCGCTATACTTTTCTCTTTAGTTCGCCGTGTTGCAGCACGAGTCGTTCTTGCCACTATTGCTGCCATTGTCTGCTGCACACAAGGCGCAGCAGCAGCGGCCAGCTTGCGGATACATTAGAACAAAAAAATAACGTGCCCAATCAGAGGCGCACACCTAACCCCGACGCCCGCTGTCTCCACAAGAAAAAATGTGGTGGATGGTATGTACAACCTGTGGTGGACTCAACACCGAATGACCTCAATGGATTACCAGTGTTTTATGCCGGCATGGTACTGGACATAGAGCAGCTTTCGTTCAGTCTGCGATCCATGGTGTGCGGGTGGTGCAAGGTGCAAGGTATGCATACGAGGTACACGAGCAGGATGTACAACAGCAGTACAAGCCGGGAGGAGGTTCGGTTTCGACTGCTGCTTGTTATACGTTGGTGTACCATCAGCGCGAGCACAGCAAACAACAACGGCGAAGGGGTGGACAGCCAGCCAGCCCCCTTCGATGATTCCAGCAAATGCGCCTCGTTGGTGGGGCACGAGGGCGGCAGCAAAACCGGAGAACAATGGGCACCCGACACACGGCCTCGGCACACCTCTTGTGTTTGTTGGTCTTTTGGATGTCTTAATCTACTAGACCACGATCGATCGAAGACACTGGAAAACGGAAGGTGATTTTGATATCGGCGTCAGCAGCAGCGAGAGAGAACAACGACAAGAGACCGAGAGAGAGACCCAAACAAATGCCGAGAGACGGGATGGCCGTTGATAACCTTGCTGAAACATGAGCAACAGGGGCTTCATTTCATCCTTATCGGTGCATTGTGTGAATCGCGAATCTGCTGCTGCTGCCGCTGCTGCTGGTGCTGTTTCTCCCAAAAACACACCCGCTGTAGAAGGCACGTCCCCGAAGAGAGACACAAGGAACTTTTCTTCAACGTCAAAATATATAAAAGCTCGCTCACTATTCCGGGTTCATCTTGCCCTCCCGCCGTCGCACGCAGCTCTCTCCTTCTTCTCTCTGTCTCTTGCTGGCAGGCTGGGCGTGCGGTCTCTGGCTCCCCTCTGTTTTAGGCTAAGCTCGCGCGCGTGTGTGTTCTCCTCGTCTCTCCTGTGCTGTCGCCGTCATTTTTTTTTTTTGGGAAAGAAAGCCTTCGAAGGTTAATATGATCGGAAGGGATTGCCGGCCGTACCTGCTACACTCTGTACTTCCGTTGCGAATCAACAAGTTTTGCTGGAAACGGGCGGAGGAGGTCTGGATGGCGTTGGAGAGGTCCGTCAAGGAGAGATGAAGAAGCAGAAAAACGGAAGCAGCAACAAGTTGCTGCTGAGCCAGGCGTTGCTGCCGGCAAAAGGCGATGGACAAGCACGAACAGCAGCACCCGCTGCTGCCGCTACTGCTGTCGCTGCAGGAGCAGCTGACTGCGGTACTCCCGCTTGCACCTCCCTGCTCCAGCAGCAGCAGCAGCAACTCGAACAGCAGGAACAAAAGCAGAAAATAGGGCGACCCGAAAAGCAAGGGCACAACGGTGATGGTGGCGAGGGGGCGATCGCGCTGGTAACGAGGGGCTGTGTACCGGGACCGATGAGCTCGATCGAGGGTATCCTTGAAAACATGTCGTGCGGCAGCACGATCCGCTCGGCCGGCACGGAGTGGAGGCTAACCCGCGCCGTCGTGCACCTAGAGGACGCCTGGAAGGGCAGGGTCAGCCCCTGCCCGCCGCTGGAGAAGATCGATCCCGCCACGCGGGCGCTGTTCAAGATGAGGTGGAAGTACCAGAGCCTGGAGTTCCTGGTGGTTCACCTGCTGCTCCGTGAGTTGTACGAATACCTCACCTTGACGCTGCGTAATAGTTTGTGCTGGGTCACGCTCTCTCTGGATTGCAGAATGTAGTCTTCGGTGTACAGCGAGCACCGCCGCACATGTTGCCGTATTCACGTAGCGGTTGCTCTGCTAGTGCTGTGTGTGCTAGTCACGACCCGAGTGTTCAATCCCAGTCGGTTCAATGCCGTGCGGGGACGAAGGCTGGCAAGCGCAACGCGGTAAGGTTAGCTGCTGCTAAGCCGTGACTTACCGAAGCGATTGGCCGCTGCCTCCGGCAACTTTCCGCGATAATTCTTCACAGTAGATGCTCAACTCCGTTGTAGAGAGAGGTTGGGGCGCAAGTCATTGGTATTTACATGTACTTGTACAGCTGTAGGGTGATTCACCGAGGTTGCCGTGTGGTGCATGGGTGGTGGCTGGGCTTGTGCGTGTCGTTTTCCGGTGCCGTCACAGCGCCAAGAACTTACACCAAAATACAACAACGTGTCAAGGATAATTAAGGAGAAATAAATACACCCACAGAAAGACCACCCATTCTACTGCTGTAGCTTGCGGGCCACGATGAGGTACTCCCTTCCAAAGAGCAAGAGAATTCGGGACTTGGAAGAACAGCAATTGAAGAACTGCAGTACTGTAGTCAGACTATCCGTTCTAGAATCAAAGTACGAAGTACTTCCAGGTGTAGTACCGTAGTTCCTATGTATCATCGTAGTCGAAGGGGTGTGTTGGATAAACAAAGTCCTTGCAGCGAGTGAGTGGGGAAGAACGGCTGCTGGAACACTGGGCATCCTCGACTGCCGTGCGTTTACAAAGCCGTGTGTTCCATTTTTCAATTCGTATCGACCGCGGGGGTAAGCTGTGTGCGTGTGCCGGTACAGCAGTAACTCGAGCCATGCCGAGGAGGTCGGAGGGATTTGATTTGATCGCCACAGGACGGGACTACCCTCGCTTGCGAAAGTGATGCGTTGGTTTGGAGCAAACTTTACAGCAGGTTTGGCTGCATACAGTAGTAGTACCGCTGCTGCACGGGCGGGCGGGTTTTTCTACAGGCGCGCGGTTGGTGTCGACGTGCAATGGCGCTAGAATGGAAAGTAGAGAGCTGAGGCGCACTGCTGGCGGCGCCGGTACCCGAGGTGGTATCGGAGATCACGGAGATCACCATATCAATTCATTCTGATTATTTGTGTGGGGCTTCGTCGTTTGAACACTACTTGCATGCATAGACAAATTGCGACTGCTGATGTACGAGGCACGGTTCGAAGAGGCCAGGAGCGGGGCATTGCATGAGGCACCAGGCCATCGATGCACGCACTGACAAAATTCAACAAAATCTCCTTTTTGTAATACAAAGCCATTTCAGAAAAATTGCGCCAATACATGTAGATATAGATGCACACACAGCGCGCCTCGGGAGTGGGGTCGTCGGAGCTAAGGTAAATGGTAGTAGTGTCGTGAAGGCGTGATGCAAGATGAAAGTAAAGCTTGGTGGGTCATGAAGGCATGATGCATGAAGGCGTGATGCAAGATGAAAGTAAAGCTTGGTGGGATGTTGGTGTGAATCATGCCTGCTGCCATTGGTGACGATTCCCAAGCTCGAACACCTCACAAAACTGACGCGTTGGTTGACTCAACAGCCCCGCGAATCTCAACGAACCATCAAGAAAAAGATTGCAAATCTGTGGACAGTCTCTAGTGCAGGCTACAATTGCGGAAAGACACGCAGCCGTTCGAGATAAAATGATACCCCGTTCTAAGGGGTGTGATTTCTTGAGTCATTGGGCTGGTGCACACCGCTCCAAGTCTAGATCGTACTCCTTTCTCCGCATGAGCCCTCAATCCGTCGTGTCAATAATGTATACCTGGCTCCGTCCTCTCGAGGACGCGTGGTCAATGGTCCAACCGCTAGGACTTGAAAAACATCAATACGCCCCCCCCCCCCCCCC